AAAGTAATTAGAAAACAAATCTACCGATCTTACTGTAATTATATACATAGAACTCGCTGTGAGATGCTTTTAGATTTTGTTAACTCTGGAAATCAAAAGAATAAAACTTTTTATCTACTTTACAGCAACTGTAAAACAACCTTTTTTCGTTTTAACTGATCACATTTGTTTGCCCAGATGGAAACGCTCAAGGGTTTTCACTGAGGGAGAAAACTGGAGTAAGTACCCAGGATATATCCACCTTAACAGGCTGGGCAGGTGACCCTATACCTTTTCAGATCAATTCTGGAATCAAACCCTGAATGTCTAGGTGAAAGAAGAGTATGTTACCATAGCCACACGACCAAGATGATTAACTTCAGATAAATAACTTCTGAATACATCACAACCTATATTGACTTTTTACTTAAATTTGATATTCACATCTCTTGCCTTTGTGGAAATGCCTCCAAACAACTTGCATTTTTAAAAACGACTGAAGAAAAATCGAACCAAGAAAGGGTAGACAATGATTTTAGAAGTCTGTCATTTTGTCAAATTTTAATCATTGCCTATTAGCCTCGAACTTTTGAACCTTCACAATAATAGCACTACAGTGTGTTATTGTTTACTATATGCAACATTAAATAACATTACTTGACTCAGAAACAATCAACCTACAAATGCTACAAAATAGTTTCATTTGACAATTACCCACACCAGAAATAGAGACAACGTGTCAAGCAAATGGTAGAAACTTACTGGTTCTGAGTCAAATAATGTACACAGAACAACAGCATATCTTTGGTTGGGGGGGGGGGGGGCTAAGAGTTGAGGTAGTGGGACCAATGTAGTGCAAGTAAATAGCATTTGAATGTACTTTACTGTAAAAGAAATGGATGGGCTTATTGCCAGGCATGGGCTTGTTGATCAATATATACAGTAAACTCAACAGAAAGACACATTTTGATTAATTCAGAAACCTAACATCTGACAATATTGACACTTTGATATGGAATTCAAAGCAAATGAGTGATAAAAATGAAATAAAATGCACTGTAAAGGGCGATAAATATTGATAATAACGATTACAAACCAGCTTATATTAATGGCCTGTCTGAGTCACTGTTTTATTGTGAGCATTAATTCTTGTTTTGATTAATTAGTAGAAGAAATTTATCAACAGAGGTGTATAAAAAAGATACCTTGTCATGGTAAAGTTAATCACTATTGTTTTTGAATGGTTAATGAAGTTTATAAACATTAACTTGAAAGAAATAAAGAATTATTAACATGTATAGTGATTTGTAACAAAATCTGTCATAATATTCTCACAAAAGAAACCATCTTACATTATAAACACTACACCTGTTGTTAATGACGTGTATAAACACACCTGTTTCCTGCATATACATGTCTGTTTATGACTGTTCTAATTTTCGAGATTGGATGAGAACTACCACATGTACGGTTAATATCTTGTGATACTGACTCCCCGCTGTAGTCACTGAATCAGTACAACTTTTGTGATGTCAGACATCACACTGCGGGGATATGAGCACAACATGGTGTACAAAATGTATAATTTTCTGAATAGAACATCCAATAATCACTAAAGGTGAGCTTACCTGCATGTGGATATTTATAACCCTCAATAACTTTTGATTCGGTCAATATCTCAATATCAGGGTTAGCAAATATCTATGTTCTCTTCAACCAGAGATAATAATTGTATATATATATATATGTAGATATCAAATATTTTGTTTGATTTTGTTTCCGAAGTGTCTTCCCTCCCACATTCTCCCCATCCTTTGGAAATCTCAATCTTTGCACAAACAGGAAATGAAAAACATTTGTGCCATGTTGAGGAATTACATTTAATCTATCAACCTTAATTCTATGTGATCAGTACAACGGAAATGAAGAAGACGACAGAGTATTAGTGAGATCATCATCCCTGTTAAAAAATATCCCTGCTCCTCAAGATTTCTTCCTACTATCAGAATTGATTAAAATTGAACTACACCTAGAGAAATAAAATAGTATTGCATGAAAAAAGTGACTTAAAAACACAACTGAACAGAATTTCTTATAACACAACCAGTAGTAGATTTGAGTGTGACGTTTCAATTACTACACACCTTCATCAGACAAATGACCAACATGGAGTGTACTAGCACTGACATATGTAGTGTATGAGATGGTAAGGAATACAATTTCTTTGTCTTTAGTTTTATCTGATATAAACTTAAGTCGTAAATCGTGTGACAAGATGGTTAACAGACTATAGACCAAAAAATACACAAGATAGTAACAATGTACTGTAGTCAATTCAGCTATGCTTTGTTATAACGTAAATAGTCACCAAAATGTCACTCTCAAATCTCTTCTGGTTGTGTTATATGAACTCCTTTTCAATTGACATTATCAACCTGAAGAAAATATTGTAAATTACCTGAAAACACAGTATTCTGAGCTCTATTTATCAGTTCACAAAGATATCTCCTTGTCCAAATTCATTTATGGCCTGTTAATTTGTGTAATTCAATATACAGATACATTTCTTTTTAAAACTTGAAAATTAACATACCTTGAGTTTTAATGGGCACATTAGTTGTTGAATTTTTCTTCAAATGTTTACCTACATTTTTAAAATAATCATAGAATTGTCATAGACAGACATCAGCCTATTAGCTAGAATTGTGAGTTTTTGTAAAAAAAACTTCTTTTGTCATATGCAGACCATTGTACCTGTTAAAGTTTGTAAACACAATTATGTAATCATTTAAGACTCAGAGAGTTTATGTAAATATCTGATCATAAATATATCACACCATGAATGACAAATTGTTTTCTCTTATGCTCACAGACAACAGTATATTATCTGAGGTAATTGTCTTCCTGGAAGGCTTGTGTGCATTACACAAACCTACAGTGCTCAGGGACGAGATGTTTGCCAGCCTTTATATCAGTTTAAGTGCCAATCAGTATGTGAAAACTAAAAATAGTTCTAATACAGATATTTTCAACACTTGAAGCATTCTTTTTGTTTATGTACAAAGTCATACCAAGTGGTATCCATATTATTAGAGAGTTTTTTTCTTGGAGTTACTTCCCTTACCAAGGTTTACAACAACAATGTATTGATTGATGTTGTAGGAGTCCTGAGCTTCACACTTATAATCTATAGTCTTTTTTTCAAATTTCTAAATATTTATATATTAGAACAGTCAGTTTGTCTTGATATCTGTTTGACAGAAAATTGCTCCAAAATTGTTGATTATTTCAACTTTGTAACACTCACAATAAAACTTGAACACATTAATCAATGATAGCTCAAATAAGGCATGTATAAGTCACAAGAAAGTCTTGCCCCAAAAAACAAGAGACCAAAAAGGCCTGTATCAGACACAAAAGATCTGAACCAAAAACAAGAACCCAATGGGGATTGTATCAGACACAAGAAAACCAGAACACAAAACAAGAATCCTTAAAGAGATTTAATCAGCCACAAGAAATCTTAAATACCCTATTTTCCGAGTTATAAACTGCACCGGTATGTAAGCTGCAGAGTCAAGTTTTAATGACTTTTTTATTTGATCCACATATTGGCTGTACAAGAATATAAGTCTAATATGAGTGTTATAAGAATAGAAGTTTTTCTTACAATGTGGTTATGTTGACCAAAGTTCATTGGTATAACAGACAACGGAAGCCAATTATCAAGATCGTCAGTGAAACATTGAATATCAGTTTGCAAATGAATTATACTCAGATAGTCCTTTATTTTATTGATGTGTTTCAAAAACTTGTAAGCTTTCACTATGGCTTCTGAAGCTACCATGAAAGTACAGAAGATATCATTGTGATTCATATTAAAAGCTATGATTGATTAAATCCATGATAACGTTATTTTTACTTAAATCTTAAAGTCATCCTGTATACGATTACAATTGACAGTTCTAGAATAGAGGAATGATTGGAAAATAGCACTTGATGATTGATATAACAAAACAACTTGGTCCTTTGAACCAGACAGGCTAAATAACACAAAACATTTATATTATACTGTCCATAAATATCAAACCATATCATTTTAAACAGCATTTTAAATCTAGTTTAAGGTGATATATTATATCTAATGTTTTTTTCTTCAGAAAATACTGTTATTACAAGGTATAAATATAGTAATATCTGTAAATATCAAACAGGATCAACATCAACCACATGAAGACGATTTTCACCAGGAATGTTAAAAGTACGACAAAATTCATTTTTTGTGGGAGATTATTGAACATTGATTTCTTTGTTACTCTTAATCCACAAATTTATTTGTCCACAAACTGATATTATTAGTTTACGAATATTTAATGAGCGGTATTTATCCACAAAATCACATGTCTGTAAATTAGTGATTTTTTGGAAAACCACGAAAATCGAACTCTCCATAAGTCTATGATTTTACAGTATACTGATACTAAGTTTCACAAAATTCAAAAGGAAGTGTCTTATAACACAGTATAATGTGAAAATGAAAGCTCTGAAGCACATGAGAAAATGGTGATAATATTAACAAGTGTTTCTACAGAAATATATAACAAGATAAGACAGAAAGCAGAGACAGCAGAACCTAGTTCTTCAAACAAGAGTCTCGTCAGGAGACAGCAGTATGTTGGCGTACAAGTCTGTTGTGGATACACTGGAACAGGAAGACAAACTCCTTGGTGATCCAGGTATGTTAAGCTCCTTGTCGACTTGGATGTCCAGACTTGTTGGTCTTGGCGACTTGGAAGAATTCTGATAACCATGCAATATCGCAAGGTCATGTGAGTTGGAAGACTGAAGTTCAATGTCATCATTTTCATAGCATTCAGCACTGAAGCCATTCTCTGTTTCTTGTTGGTTCAAACAGAGAACAGAAAATTCTGATATTCTGTTAGGATTTATAAAATGTTTAGGAACACACCTATAAAGAAGGTTACGAATGGCATATTCTAAGAAAAAATGTTCACACTTACGGTCAATAGCTCCGCTAGAATTTGGTCCTTGGACAGAAAAGTCGGCGCTGCTATTCTGAGATTCTATGTAGCTTTGAAAAAGACAACTCAGTTCTGGATTGTCCCTAATGAGGCCAGATATATCGATGCCATCAAGTTCTGAGGGTTCACTTAGAAAACGCTCTGGGATTCTCTGTATCGTGTCTTCTGTTTCGTCCACATCTCCAAATCCTAAACCCATGAGGATGTCCTCAGGATCTTCGTTACGATCATTCAGCAGCATGTCAAGGCTGTAAAACATACAGATGTTTATCATGGTAGGGTTATAAACTGTTACAGATAGATAAGTACTGACAAGTTCTAAAACATTAACTTATGAATTAATGTTCTCTTCAAGTACAGTATGACTACTGACAATGTTTGGATATCATGATGATTTACCATAGATATAATCAACCTCTATAAACAGACCATTACATAAAGAGGACACATGCTACTGCTAAAAATTGTTTGATCAAGCCATTTGGAATAGAATCATATCTCTGTCACATTTAATTTGTTTGTGAGGCAAATGACTATATTCAACCTGCAATACACCTGGGGGTTCGACAGAGACTACTTTATACTGGAATTCAAGGGTTTGGCTTATCATATTACAATGAAATAACAGAGATTTATAATCTAACTTGATTTTACTGAATAAATAAAAGGAATGGGCTTATTACCAAAGATAGACTTATTACCTGCAGACACAGAGTTATAACCAGACACAGACTTATAACCAGACATAGACCAATTACCAGACACGGACTTATTACCAGACACAGGCTTATTACCAGACACAGACTTATTACTAGACACAGACTTATTACTAGACACAGACTTATTACCAAACACTATTACTATTATTACTAGACCTTATTATCAGTCATGGGCTTATTTGCAGACACCGGCTTATTACCAGCCACAGACTTATTACCAGACACAATAATCACACAAACCTATCAATATTGTTAATATATATACCTGATGTCACTGGACATGCTTGTTGTTGTGTTCTGTGAGAAATCCGAGGCAAAGCTGAGATTTTGTGGAGCATCCAGTAACCATTGTAACCGCTTGTCCATGACAGGTGGCAGCACTGTCACAAAGTTTCTGTCATAAAAACAAAAACATTTATACAGGTGGCAGCACCGTCACAAAGTTTCTGTCATAAAAACAAAAACATTTATACAGGTGGCAGCACCGTCACAAAGTTTCTATCATAAAAACAAAAACATTTATACAGGTGGCAGCACCGTCACAAAGTTTCTGTCATAAAAACAAAAACATTTATACAGGTGGCAGCACCGTCACAAAGTTTCTGTCATAAAAACAAAAACATTTATACAGGTGGCAGCACCGTCACAAAGTTTCTATCATAAAAACAAAAACATTTAACATTTATACAGGTGGCAGCACCGTCACAAAGTTTCTGTCATAAAAACAAAAACATTTAACATTTATACAGGTGGCAGCACCGTCACAAAGTTTCTGTCATAAAAACAAAAACATTTATACAGGTGGCAGCACCGTCACAAAGTTTCTGTCATAAAAACAAAAACATTTAACATTTATACAGTCATAAAAACAAAAACATTTATACAGGTGGCAGCACCGTCACAAAGTTTCTATCATAAAAACAAAAACATTTAACATTTATACAGGTGGCAGCACCGTCACAAAGTTTCTGTCATAAAAACAAAAACATTTAACATTTATACAGGTGGCAGCACCGTCACAAAGTTTCTGTCATAAAAACAAAAACATTTATACAGGTGGCAGCACTGTCACAAAGTTTCTCTCATAAAAACAAAAACATTTATACAGGTGGCAGCACTGTCACAAAGTTTCTCTCATAAAAACAAAAACATTTATACAGGTGGCAGCACTGTCACAAAGTTTCTCTCATAAAAACAAAAACATTTATACAGGTGGCAGCACCGTCACAAAGTTTCTGTCATAAAAACTAAAACATTTATACAGGTGGCAGCACCGTCACAAAGTTGGTGGCAGCACCGTCACAAAGTTTCTATCATAAAAACAAAAACATTTATACAGGTGGCAGCACCGTCACAAAGTTTCTATCATAAAAACAAAAACATTTATACAGGTGGCAGCACCGTCACAAATACAGGTGACAGCACCATCACAAAATTTCTGCCATGAAGTAACTGTTTTCTAGGTGAAAAATTTAGAGCAAATGTTCTTCCCTTTTTTCTTTTTCACAAAATAAGTTTTATGCACCAGAAAATTTAACTTATTTTTTAGAATAATTCTTCATAGTTTTGATAAACTCAAAAAGAGAACATGTGGATAGATATTTTTAAAAAAGGAAAACTGAAAGAAATTCTTCCATTGATTTAAGGTAGAATAAAAGTCTTCCTAGCCAGACTTTCTATTTTAAATTTAACTGAAAACTAAACAAAACAGGTATAAAAAATTTCATTTCATCAAATGCTTTCAAAAAGTCTATACTAACAATAAAAGGATTCAGCTCAATAGGGACATGAACTAAAATTATAGAATGATTAATTGATACACACTGAAATTATAGAGTAATCAATGAAATTGAATTAAATTTCACTCACCGTTCCTTCTGGTCAAAGGAGTTGGCTGTGAATATAATATATATATAATTAGTACGACAAGATAAAGCTAAGAAATTGCTAAAACTCTTGAATAAATATCAGTGAATCATTAAATACAATCAAGTTTGCAAAATTGAAAATATCAAATACATTTCCAACACAACTAAAATTTATTTATATTGAAAAAGTGAAAAGGGTATGATTTTCCTGCCATGAATTATGAAAAATGAGTAAAATACGTGTATACATTATTTGTGATGTATTTTCACTTAAACATTATTAATGTTTTCACGATTTATTTGAAATGTTAACGTATGTAAATGAAAGTACAAGTAAGTACAAATCACATACATGACACACCCAACCATTGAAGGTAAATGTCAATGATAAAAGATCTGTACAAGTCAATTCATCACACTGTCCCCATACAAACATCACCCTATCGCTGGCACAATCACACTCTCCTCATACAAACATCACCCTTGGCTGGCATAATCATACCACCCCCATACAACCATCACCCTATAGCTGGCATAATCATACTACCCCCATACAACCATCACCCTATAGCTGGCATAATCACACTCTCCCCATACAAACATTACCCTATAGCTGGCATAATCACACTACCCCATACAAACATCACCTTAAGGCTGGTATAATCACACTGTCTCTATACAAACATCACCCTATGGCTGGCATAATCATACTACCCCATACAAACATCACCCTATGGCTTGCATAATCACACTCTCCCCATACAAACATCATCCTATGACTGGCATAATCACACTCTCCCCATACAAACATCACCCTATGGCTTGCATAATCACACTCTCCCCATACAAACATCACCCTATAGCTGGCATAGTCACACTCTCCCCATACAAACATCACCCTATAGCTGGCATAGTCACACTCTCCCCATACAATCATCACCCTATGGCTGGCATAATCACACTACCCCATACAACCATCACCCTATAGCTGGCATAATCACACTCTCCCCATACAAACATCACCCTATAGCTGGCATAGTCACACTCTCCCCATACAACCATTACCCTATAGCTGGCATAATCACACTGTCCCCATACAACCATCACCCTATGACTGGCATAGTCACACTCTCCCCATACAAACATCACCCTATGGCTGGCATAGTCACACTCTCCCCATACAAACATCACCCTATGGCTGGCATAGTCCCACTCTCCCCATACAATCATCACCCTATGGCTGGCAAAGTCACACTCTCCCCCTACAATCATCACCCTATGGCTGGCATAATCACACTCTCCCCATACAATCATCACCCTATGGCTGGCATAGTCACACTCTCCCCCTACAATCATCACCCTATGGCTGGCATAATCACACTACCGCCATACAAACATCACCCTTAATGGCTAGCAATAGTCTTAGTTTCAGGATCCAACTGAACAAACCAGGCATATCATCCAGCTACCTGATCACACTCAATCATTTCATCGTTTGTGAAAATGACCATTACTGAAACCTGCTACCTCATCAACATTCATTAAAAATGCATGTGCCATATTAGCTCCTAACATTTCACAGCATTTGAAACTCTACACATGCTTTGGTCAAATACAATCTAAATAAAATTTGATATTTGTTCTTAATATGATTATAACCATTAGTCTATTTCCACATTTTTGGAAAAAAAACCTTGTTTAATTGTATAATTCCTTTGTTTGGGTATTTCATCCTTATTTCTATAGTTCTAGTGATTTGTTTGTTTTTCATCCTTGTTACAGCTAAAGTCTGTAAAGACGCCACTAACAGATGTGTTTATATAATAGTGAAATATCCTAACTCACAGTAAAATGAGGTTAAACTGTCCTTATACAGCTCACATACTGTCAGTTAGACTAAAGCATTATGACAGAACCCACTCCTGGTAATTAGCTCAACTGAATTTATCATTTATATGTTTACTTAAAAATTTATCATTCATAACCATCAGGTGGGTCACGTTGCGGATACCTTCACCTGACGATTACTTCAATTCATTATTCAGTAGGACTAATTAATAATAATTACTAATTCATTGTCCTATGATAAGCCCACTCCTTGATTTTAAATTATAGGTATTGTCTCCCCTATCCTCTTTCCCCTTCAACAGCTACACACAAACCAGGAAACATTGGTTGATTACTCTAATGTGAAAGCTATCATAACCAGGTATCTCAGCTCATTAGACCTGATCAATTATTAACTATCAATAATATCACACTAGTATGTTTCCAAAACAATATAAGTCAATATCAAACAGCATCAGCACCATTTGATATTGAAGATTCATACATAGATAGGTAGTAACAGGAATACTATAGGAAATATCCAGTGGTAAATAGAGACAAACAGGATCACATGGAATATAGAGACATCAAAAACATACACAAGGTCTGGACAGGGAGAAAACTGGACATAGGGGAAACACAAGGTCTGGACAGGGAGAAAACTGGACATAGGGGATAACACAAGGTCTGGACAGGGAGAAAACTGGACATAGGGGATAACACAAGGTCTGGACAGGGAGAAAACTGGACATAGGGGATAAAACAAGGTCTGGACAGGGAGAAAACTGGACATAGGGGATAACACAAGGTCTGGACAGGGAGAAAACTGGACAAAGGGGATAGCATAAGGTCTTTTGTGGACAGAAAAGGTGATTGGTAAATATCATATATATAGGATGACAGGTGAAATACTGGAGACACTCTGTACATACACCTGAAGGATAGATCAGGAGGAAAGCAAGAAGGACACACATGACATCTAATGATTAATGACAATCGAAGAGGACACTTTGACCATGGGGATCAATGGAACAGGACACAAGGAGACTAATGGAAGTGGACGCTAAAAGAGAAAGTTTAAACAGGAAACAAGACAAGAATGGGAACATTGATCACACAGCCAGCGGTAGACAATGGACATAACACAAGAGAGAAAGACAATCCATGGATCACAGGGAAATGAAATATAGAGGTTTGGAGATGATGGTTTTAACAGTATATAACTAACAGGGAAAGAGAGGTTCCGAATGTTGGTTACACAGCTGAAAATACCTCTGGACTTACCCTCTGTTCCCATTGGAATGTCTTCTTCATTCACATTACCATCTTCCATCATTTCAGCAGACCTGATAAAGTAACAAAAATATCATTATTTATCTGCCTTTGAATATAACACTACTAGGACAAGAATAGGCTGCTAACTGTGCTTGTCAATCTTTTCCTATTGGAAGCAATATCAGGATATACAACAGGCCTCCTAAGTATCTTACCATCTCCTACATGTATTTCCATAGTATGATGCACTGAACTTTTTGCTTTGAAGTCAACCCCGTACATACACCCCTGGTATACACACATACTGGTATACAAAAAAAAATCACTTAAAAAAAAATTCAAATTCACATACATGTACACATATATAAAGGAATTTATCAAAGAAATATCAAAGAACTTTTCTGGTTCAGCATTTCAATCTAATCAGATATGTACATGTTTATAGATATGATCCTAATTACTGTGTTTACCTGATAAGCATGCCAACCCTTATCACAATCTCTTTTTTATTATTCAAGCACCTCATTCTTATCATGAGAGTAAACTGATCAGAGAATTTTTCTCTAGTCCGAGCACCTCATGTTCACCACAGAATAAACTGATCGGAGAGTGTTTAAGTCAATTTTTAACAAGCATTGCTATAGTTAACACAACTTAATGAAACGTTTTTAACAGTTGTAGATTTTTTTGATTGGTTTATCATCTCATGAACATCCAAGGCTGTTTAAAGGGGGATCTCCTTGCAGAAGCTGGTGGCTAATCCACTGAACAGCATGTGGAAGGCCCATCACATACCACCAGAGCAATTAGGGTAAAGTGTCTTTTCCAAAGACATAACCATGACTGCGGATGATGATCCATTTTTCAACTTTTCGATAAACACAAGGCACCATGGGAAGAGATCATATAACCACACATCTAAGATCATCAAAAGAGGATACTTAGGCCAATGTCTGAACTATCACAGTCCTCGCGAAAGCTAAACCATATCATAATTCACTTACAGCTCACTATATATAACATTATCATCTAACCACTTACATCTCACCTACCTTGCCTGACACACTATAAACATAATATTCATACCGTTTTAAATCGTAAATATATCCCACATGCTTTTGGTCATGACATGTCAGTCAGATCAGCCATATTTTATCATTCTGAACAGAAAACATACTGTATCAATCCTACCTTCAGCCCAGGGTGTTTTGTCACAACCCCGACTCAAAGTTAGGAATTAGTTTACTTTACTGGAGCTTTACATCCTATTTATAGCCAGTGTCATTTAAAGACATGCCAGGTTTGAATATTAGAGGAAAGTCAAAGTTCCCAAGAAAAAACACCTACTTGGGGCCAGCACCTGGCAACTGCCTTGCTTAGGTCTCAAAGCACTACCTAGAGGTGGAGAACTAGTGATAAAGACAATCAGATATTGTAACCACTTTGCCACCACAACACCTTACAGCAGGGAGCTACATGGACTTGTTACTGTGCTATGGTGTAGAATTTATTGACATTTCCAAAGAAACTGCAATAAATGTGGATGGGCTTATTACCAGACATGGTCTTATTGGTGCATGAATATAGTTACATACCCTAGATACCATATGTGGAAAGTCTTTCATCCCAAAATATCATCAGCAATTACCATATTTGACTGCCTCAATAAGTGCACCCCCATCTTTTTCAGGACGAAAAAATGAATGAGCCAATCAAAACCTACAGTTGATATCAACAGACAGTTGTGATACTCACCCGTTAGAAATGTTACACAGAAAAGATTTTGCAAAGTACGAAATGCATATTTAACCAATCAAAATACAGTCAAGACTTGTTATCTCAAAGCAGGTAGGACCACAGGAAAACTTTGAAATAACCGAGTATTTGACTTAATTGAGTTTCAATTTTGACGTAAAGTTTCATGAGAATCAATGAAATGCTTCAAATTCAGGGTCTTCAAGTTATATGAGCTCAAAATAACGTGGTTCAACTTATCAAAAATAGAATCAGGGTATTTAACTGCTGAATCATTTGTTTGAGTAGGTGCTCAAAACTTAAATGGTATTGATAGGGACAACATAGACAACAAAATGGACTTCCTTTTATAGTTGTGGTAACACGAAATGCACCAATGCAAAAATCCTGGTGCACACATCGTGCATACATCGTGCATACATCGTGCGTACATTGTGTAGACATCATGTGTACATCATGTAGACATGGTGTGCATCACATATTGTGTAATGTTGTGCGATCCCACAACTATACTTTTGATTTCTGGTCATTGATAACAGTAAAAACTGAGGAAAATTAGTAAAAATGTTACATATATGAACAAATAAGAATCTTTATCAAAAAATTCAAACAAGACTTTATCCAAATGGGTTACGATCAAGAAGCAATCAAATGATTACATTAATTGGTAAGATGTGCAGACAACTTACATTAATTGGTAAGATGTGTAAACAACTTACATTAACTGGCAAGATGTGTAAACAACTTACATTAACTGGCAAGATGTGTAGACAACTTACATTAACTGGCAAGATGTGTAGACAACTTACATTGATTGGTAAGATGTGTAGACAACTTACATTAATTGGTAAGATGTGTAGACAACTTACATTAATTGGTAAGATGTGCAGACAACTTACATTAATTGGTAAGATGTGTAGACAACTTACATTAATTGGCAAGATGTGTAGACAACTTACATTAACTGGCAAGATGTGTAGACAACTTACATTGATTGGTAAGATGTGTAGACAACTTACATTAATTGGCAAGATGTGTAGACAACTTACATTAATTGGTAAGATGTGTAGACAACTTACATTGATTGGTAAGATGTGTAGACAACTTACATTAATTGGTAAGATGTGTAGACAACTTACATTGATTGGTAAGATGTGTAGACAACCTACATTGATTGGTAAGATGTGTAGACAACTTACATTAATTGGTAAGATGTGTAGACAACTTACATTGATTGGTAAGATGTGTAGACAACTTACATTAATTGGTAAGATGTGTAGACAACTTACATTAACTGGCAAGATGTGTAGACAACTTACATTAATTGGTAAGATGTGTAGACAACTTACATTAATTGGTAAGATGTGTAGACAACTTACATTAATTGGTAAGATGTGTAGACAACTTACATTGATTGGTAAGATGTGTAGACAACTTACATTAATTGGTTAGATGTGTAAACAAACTTACTTTCAATATCTGTCATTCTATAGAACAATTTTCCTCGCAGGTATTCAATTAGCATGTTTCTGCTTTATAGATACAATAAATTGCAGATAACAAATGTTTGAAAATTTGAAATTAGTATGGAAAAAGTAAATAAAGTGTACCCATTTTGTGTTTTGCAATCACACATATAGTGCGCTAATTTGTTCGAACAGGGTACATCATCAACAAGTCTCTGTCTATGCGTTCACATTTCGATGAATCACATGTGACACTAGCTGACCAATAGTAACCGCCATATACCCGATAAGTTTCCAAATCTGTATAATATGACAAGTGATTTTGTTCAAGGTTATAAATTTCCTGATTGTTTAAACCCTAGCCATTCATACTTTCACTTTTATTATACTAAATATATACTATTTACAAAAGAGAAAGCATTCCTAACTTAATCACAGCTGTTCTATCCATTTTACATACAAGATGTGTTATATGTGAAATAATCTGAAATAGATATAACCATACCGAAAAAAAAAGTTGAAAAAATGTATATTAGCTATTATATCAACAATCTCTCAACTCAACCTGGCAGGAGAGGTCAAGTTTTGATAAAATTCCAACCCAGAACTGGTAGAAAAGTACTGATACAATTTACAGATTTCATTTCAGTAATAATTACCATAACTTTAGTATGCAAATACAGTACCTACACCCCCATCTTTGTATCCCAACAACAAAAGATTCAAAAGAAAAACAATCCCGCCCTCCCTACGATCCATGAGCCATCACGGCAGGAACGCAGAGTGATCTCCCTTCCTCTTACCTTTATGGCTGCCGACGAGTGCGGAGGTGTCTGAGCTAAGTGCTTTTCTTACTCCTTCTCTTCGTACTGCCATTGTCGTTTGAGTATATTGTTACTCTATTAGTAGTCTATAAACCCATCTCCCAACTTATATTGTGAAATTAAGTATTGTCATTTGTTTATTTTGACCGTATTTCCGGCCGTTTTTTCCTCCACGTATTCGAGTGCGTGACTACTTGTCTCGTTGCTCGGATTTGCGTGAAGTTGGAATTTGTTTTCTTGCTGCTTTGTCGGCCGTGTTGTACGGCCGTTTTATTTATGCAGTGCAATCTTGCTGCGTACGGTAGGCTTTGTGCTCTCGTTCGTAGTTTTTTTTATTGTTCGAGAACTTCGTTTCCGGCCGTGTTTTTACTCCGCGTGTTCGAGTGAGTGACTACTTGTCTCGTCACTCGGAATTTCGTGAAGTTGAAATTGTTTTCTTGCTGCTTTGTCGGCCGTTTTGTACGACCGTTTTCCTTTTTTGCAGTACAATCTTGCTGCGTACGGTAGGTTTTATGATCTCGTTCGTAGTTTTTTGATTGTTAGAAAACTTTTTATCCTTGTTTTCATTGTTACAATTTTTTATTGTTTCGATGCTGGATAAAGGTGCCGGGTTTACGTCGGGGGTCAGCGCATGGATGTTCCTATTTCTATAGATAATGGGAACCCCATGATACCTGTCCCATTTGCCGACATTACAGCCAGACCTCACTATGTGAACTTTGTTTGCACATGGAGTCTGCTGCTTAGGCTCCCATGCCTTTCCAGCTAACTTTCCGCCGGAAGAGGGATTCGTCCTCTTCTTCCGGTAAGGGAAGTAAGCTTTTTAAGACCTCCCTCCTGAAGTTCTGAACCAGAGCGTTCCTACTGGGGGTGCTCTCGTTCCACCGAGCTCCGCCCTTCAGCAGGGGGTGGCTCCCCCTGTCCAGGTGCGTCCTGGAGTAGGGGGGGGGCAGCCCGACCCTGACTCGGCGCAGTCAAGGGTCGAATTGGCCGGTAGCTCTCGATAGGCGGCGGTGTTACCGTCGG